TTATAAAATTGAGAGTTTTGCAAGTCACCACTTTCCACATACACCTCGACTCTCCACAGGTATGCATGTGGAATGAGTTTTCGCAATCCATCACCACCTTTAGACTACGAATGTGAAACAACTTCGCAGCCGAATGCTACTGTCGCACCTATCATTCTCAGGCTTGTTGAGAATGTGATCGGTGACAATATGGACGGCTCACAGCTGGATTCGATCGAAGACACCCCTCTTGAGCGTACCCTTTGTGCAGCTTGGGATCTCGCTAGTATTGACGAATATGCAGCAGCAATGCTGGAAAACAACATACAGGTTATTGCTCTCAAGGTTGGTAAAACATTTTATCACAGCAGTTACCATATAACTTCTGCTAACTTGAGCCGTCGACGAGCAGATATGTACATCAACAAAGCGACCCAGGACACGAGAGCTGACTGTTGGGACACTTGCAAATATTGCTTGCCATCATGACACTGGAGCTGTTCTATTAGAACAGGAAGATATCTTCCTTCTCGTCAGCTCCATTCTCTGGAATGAGAATGATGCTAGGGTATTACATGAAGCTACACGGTAAGCACCGATCAACCAACACTTATAAAAGTTGAAGCAAACAACATACTAACTTTGGTAAATCAATTGGTTTATCTCAAAAAAGTCTATTGGAAGGATTTCTTGTCTTTACGATCAACATGGCAGAACAGTCAGTAATAGATAGCCCAAATCTCACTCGATTCCTAGCCACTGCTGCTGACAGACCGTCAGTTATCTCGAGGTACATGGTCATTGTCATGAACACTCTCAATACAGACCTTCTCGTTAGATCACTTCTAGTCATTAGGCACACAATTGTGTACATGCAAGCTACGGATTTGCTCTATTCATCGCCAGGACTGAAAGCGGATGCCTTAAAACTAGTCACTTGGGCGACAGATCGATTAGAAGAAGAGGGGAGAGGCATTGGTATTGGCGGTTTTAATAAGACTGTGGCAAAAAATTTAATGCACGTTGTTTGGGCTATAGGTGCCTACAAGATTGTGGAAAGCAGCGAATATGGTAAGTGTGATTGTTTGTATAAATGATGCAATGTGGGAAACCTTTAAACTCATTCGTATGCCGTGTGTAGACCATGAAGTGGCCATATCTTTAGCTGAATCAATGAAGAGGATACAGTCCTATATAGACGAAGAATACGATATAACACAAGAGGATGAGGCCATCCAGGATTTGGCTAAGCTTTTGACAGAATCTCTCCATATAGAATAATATAATACGAACTCATTTTCACCAGCATCTTTTAATGGCTCTACAATATTCACTTACTCATTTTATATGGTCTACGAAGGAGTGTTCGAAGACAGCTTCATAAATAGCGCGAAATGCTGGCCTAGTGGAGACCGTTTTTGTGTGGCTCAGTGGAGATTGAAGTTCGCAGTCATTTGCCCTCGAGGCAGCAAGGTCACACCTTTTGTTCTTTGCAGTCCAAACTACTATACATCGCTAAATTATAACTAAATGACTACGGCTGCTCTCTCTTATGAGCAATTGCTGCTGCAAAGACTGGAAGAACGTAATAGTCGAGAGCATGCATATACCGTATTCGTACAAGGCAGTAAGTTGCTTCACATTCTCCCGATCCTATAGTGAATGGCAGTAGGCGTCAAGCTCGAGGAACTTCACACCATTCGTATTGCGACAGTGCCCACTAATCTGCACCATGTCGCGGATCGGGACCATAAACGCATTTCAGCTGCTATTCTTTCACCGCTAATAATTCACTCCGCTTGTAGACCAACAGCTGCTTGGAAACCTGAAAGCACTGCAGAAACAGGTAGCAGAGCTTCAGAAAGCAAAAGACCATCTCTCGTCTAGAAATTCTATATTAGAGGAGGAGCGGAATAGTCTGAACCAACATGGGTAAGCGGCTGGATTGCTAGTTGATCTCGCACGATATCTTGCCTGACTGAAATGTCTCGGTTTAGGTCGCCTGATATGCAACAAAAAACATTACAGCTGAAAGAAGAGCTTCAGCGATTGAAAGCTGAACAAACAGAAATGTATAAAACGCAGGGTCAAAATGCCCAACGGCTCGTCGATATGAATGACAAGTTGCGTTCTTACGAAGAATCCGACAAAGAATCGAAAGCCAAGTAAGCTATGTTCGATATGAAATATGCGACTTTTTTTCATTTATTTACAATCACCATCATTTTATGACAGACAGATTGAAATGGAAGCGAAGATTAAACAGTTGTTGACAAAGTTGGAGCAGCAGACGCATTTATTGAAAGAGAAGGACGTAGCCATTCAGGTATAATCTATGATCAGCTGAAATTGGACCCATTGATGACTTATGATAATTTGCGATGACTGATGAGTGTATATTTGCTATACAGGTACTACAAGATGAACTGTCAACTCTCCAATTGGAATTTTCTACCACTGAGGAAAAGAATAAGCGACTTGAAAAGGAAAACGGTGAATTGGTACAAAGATGGCTTAAAAAGATGAATGAAGAGGCTGAGAAGATGAATGAGGCGACCATGTTTTATGAGAGGTGAGAACTTTTTGGATGAATCGTAGTTTAATACTTGATCTTACAATTAACTTCCTATAGTCTTGCTGAGCAAGCGAAGAATAATGAAAACACCAAATCATCAAGGCGGTGGACTTTCCGCACCAAGTCTTCAGATGACGATGTAGATAGGTAAGGTAGATCAATTGATGGCAGCCATTTCAGGCGTAAGCTGACGTATCGTTTTAGACTGAAAAACATACAAGATGTTCCTCTGCGAATATCAATGGTGACTTTACCAACTGCGCCGTTACAAACTCAAGTACGTGATATATTCGTAGATAGCTTCCACGCCTGACCTCGAACTAAGTTTTTTTCAATAGACGATCAATGATGGGGAGATACATTGTATTAACTGTTCGCCGGCGGGAAATATGTATGCCATCGGTGGCAGTGATAAGAAAGTCCGAGTTTATAATTCAAGGCAATGTAGGTCTCACATACCTTTACTAATCTGATAATACGCAATATACTGACCTTTCTGAAAGACAACCTTACGCATACACTGTCTGGGTCACTACAAACTTTGACTTCGGTTGATTTCAATGAGTCTGAGGAATTTCTTCTTGGCTCATGCATGGATAACTCCACTCGAATATGGGATCTTGCATCATCAAGAATAAGGGTATTAAGAAATTTCCTTTCATATTGTATTTTCTTCTCGATTCTATTAACTCATCTCATGACCTGAATTCACCATAGCACACTTTGACCGGACACATTGGAAAAGTTTGTTCGGCAGAGTTCACAGCCGACTCAAACAGAGTGGTATGTTATCTTCAGCATTCTACCAATGCGAGGGTTTCTGACTAAAGTCTTTGGCAATTCATTCTAGATTTCTGGAAGTCAGGATAGGACGTTGAAAGTATGGGATCTTCATAAAGGCTATTGTAAGTAAACTCAAATCAGTAGGATTCCTGGGTATTGATCCTGTTATTGACCGACCTACAACATTAGGTACACGAACGATATTTACCTTTTCCAGCTGTAACGATGTATGCCTAATCGATCGTGAAGGGTAAGCTTAATGACACTATTAGTACCTGTAAATTCTACCGGTCATGCCTTAAACGATCTGCTTTACAGATCCACAATAGCTAGTGGTCATCTAGACAATAATGTTAGATTGTGGGATACCCGTACTGGAAATGGAATCAAGGAGCTCACTGGTCTTCATACTGGGCAAGTAACGTCCGTCTCGGTATCTCCAGGTATGTAAATGCATCCCGCTAAAAAAAAAGTGACAGGAAAGGTGTTAACTATGAAACACAGATGGGTCCAAGTTATTGACCAATTCACGAGATAATACCCTACACTTTGTCGATTTGAGAATGTACAAAGTGATCCGTACATTTCGGTGAGTCAAATTGCATTGGATACAACTGTTTCTTGCATCTAACCTGTCTGATTTGTTATAGAGATGAATCTTATCGAAATGGCATAAACTGGTCAAGGGCGTGCTTCAGGTAAAACATTGCACCATTTTCATCTTTTACATTCCTATAACAACCTCCTCTAATGCATTGATACGCTAGCCCTGATGGTCATTACGCTGCAGCGGGATCGGCAAGTATGTAAATTGTGGGTTAAAGCTATGCTTACAGGATAAGTTTTAACACCCAGAATTATCTTCTGTTCATCTTCAGGTGGCAACATTCATTTTTGGAATACAATGACTGGCAAACACGAGTCGTCAGTCTCAGGGCATAAGTAAGGCAATCATATCAGGCATTACAATTTCAATGACCCCTACCTTACACCATAATCTCTTTAGACAACCTATTTGTGCCGTTGCGTGGAATCCCCTTGGCACACAGCTGTTCAGTGCAGATCGCAACAAGGGTTATTGTATTTGGGACACATCCAGCAAATTGTAATGCCATACCCGTGTTCATCATGTAGCACACATGATGCTATAGGAACATCAACATGTCAACCATATTACTGTGCTTTTATATTGTACATTCACATATCGTCTACATAGCCCTTTTCGTCTTTCGGTAATGCTATTTAAAGTACATCATGCAATACTGCTTCCTATACCTTCTCTGTCCTCGGTGTTACCAAAGCCTAGCAATCATATTAGAAGTAAAGTGTTAAACTTTGAGGGAGTTCTGGACTTGAAACATCGATCTGCGAATATGAAATTAAGGGCTTGGTATCTATAAAGTAGTGAACAGCATTCAATAAAATGAGGTACGGTCAATTCAAAATCACGGAGATCGATAGAACAGCCTGAGGCCACCAGAACCATGTTCTCTTTATTGTGAAAAAATGGATGAGCAAACCGCATACATTTGCTAGATGGCACTCAAAGGTATGTTTCTTATCAAATTTATTTGCTTTAACAAGTAAAAAAAAAATGTAAGGAACGTTTCATCGTGTGCCCAAAAAATCTGAAACAAATGAAATTTAAATGAAAGGCAAAAGGAACCGATGGCGAGATTCGAACTCGCGACCTTCAGTTTAGGAAACTGACGCTCTATCCACTGCGCTACAACGGCGTAAATTTGCCGGAATGAGATTTTCTTTACTATGATACTTTACAAACAGATGATTTGTTAGTTCGCATTTTAGACTTGCTCTTACATGATACTACCATCATTTTTTAGTGATTTTCACTTCTTTATTATATGCACTAAAATATCGACGATTAAAATTTTTGATTTATACGGTGGATTTTGAGTTTGAGACCGAAATGCTCATTTGAACTTTAACTCAGACCAGCCATGAGAATAGTCACATTTCCAAACGTCTCCTTCGTTTTATTGTGCCAAGATATTGTCCCATGTACATTATTACGATAGATATAAATTTTACCTTATTTATCTGCTTTCTTTTCACCAGATTAAATGTGAGTAGCACTCATTGTTATCATTACCATCTGGCTCAAAGCTCAAATCCTAATTGATGATCTGTCTTGAGCAGTTTCAGGTAAAGGAACGCCATGCATCTCTAACCTAAATGAGGCTTAACTTGCTTTTCTCTCTTGTAAAATATTTCACCAATAGCCGAGTAATCACTGTAAGAGAAAGTGGATACATAGCTGCATTTACACAGCTAATTACTTCATCACATTATTGCATGCTCATCTATGAAGAACCAAAATTAGAACATGCAGCCAAACTGAAAAATGCAAATATGAGTAAGTAAAGTACTAGATATCCTATATAAGATAAATGCTCACTTGATGTGACATGGGGGGGAGCTTTGTTTCTGCCTCTAATTATGACTCTTCCACTTTACCACTCACATCTTCTATAAATGCATCACACTCCTCTTCCCATGCTTTGGTCAACTTGAGCACTACTGAGTAGTTACTTAAATGTGATTTAGAAGTAATTCAACCTCCCTCTAAATTGCTGGTGCGAAGAAAAATCAGCGATGATCAGCAATTGCAAATTGACCAAAAGCGATAAAGATTTACGCAGCAAACAAAGTGGTGATATTCTTTGGTTGATCTACAAGTCAAAGGTTCATCGTTTACTTCAAAATAGCCAACTGTGATACTTCACTGTTTCGAAGCTATTGAGCGCCACAGGTTAACACCGTCACGTCAATCTCAGCTTAGGTTAAATTGTTCCTTTGCTGCCATTTGAGACCAGCGGCCCCATAATATATACTTGATTGTACTCTAATTTTAAATAGAATGAGAGCATGTAAACATCAGGTTAAAAAGCAACTTGATTTTATGCCGGCATGGACGATATCATTAACACTGACAAGTAATCTTGAAAAACCTAGTTCAACTTAAGCCGTTTGACGCTTTAATGCGAAAGTAGAGAAAGCAAATATGTCGACATCGGAAACGTATCTCAATCCCATACCAGAAAGAAGAGGTGAGGTGAGTTAAAGAGCAAGTATGGCTATGACGAGGATCAAACATTACGACATTTATCTGATACAAACCAGCAGATACTTTGAATTTAGGATGATACCCGTGAATCTAACCTTCACTCTCAGTATATATGACTTCAATCCAGCAATGTGTGTCTTGTATGAGGCTCAAAATGGTCCTTGGAAATGAACAATTTGTTATAGCACAAAGGGGACAACAACCCCTAATTGCCGGGGTCACGTGCTCATCACAAAAGTGTGTTTTTTGGGTACCAGTGTCAAATATTTAACAGTCGCTACATCACCTTTTACCTGATAAACGGAATGTCCTGGCAGGCGCAAGGTATGTAATTGGCATGGATTATGTATAATGTATATGTGCATTTGGACTTACGTGTTCCATCGGTTTAGAACGAAGCGCAGCCGACATGGCATCGTCCTTCTTAAATTCTGTAGGCCAGCAACTGTCGCACCCCAGCGGCGATCCTTACTACCCAGACAATGGAGGTTAGTTTCACACCAAATGGAAGCATACAGTCTAATAAGCTGCAGTGATCAGAACCATAATGGCGATTTTGATCTTGGCACGATTGAATTTCCAAAGTGATCTAGAAATGATTACTGCTCCCAATTTCACATGATTTGAAAATATTTACTAACCCGTTTTTCCATTGTGATCCTCTCTCTTACAGGTTACGGAGCCAACGTGGACTATTATGGAGGACACGGCGAACGAGATGGCTCCAGATCCGAGAGAGGCTCTGAACGACACTATGATCGACCCAGAGATAGAGATAGAGAGAGGGACAGAGACCGAGATCGCAGACCTCGCAGAGAACGTTCCAGAGACAGAAGAGACAGAGATCGAGGAGGCAGAGACAGAGATAGAGATAGGCATCGACACAGTCGACGTGGAAGTCGTGACCGAGAAAGAGAGAGAGATGATTACAGACGCTCAAGCAGAAGAAGCCGAAGTCCACGCCAGAGCAGCCGACACAGTCGTAGTGGTGGAGACAGCACAGTTGTTCCTTTGCATTTGAGACCAAGAAAACTCGACAACTGGGATCGTCCACCGGAAGGTATGGAAGGCATGACAGCTGAACAGGTGAAGCAAGCAGGTAAGTTTTCGCGCAGTACACCGTCCGTCACAATAGAATGTCTCTTAACCTCTAGTATGTAAACAACAGGTCTCTTTGTTCTTCCTGCTCAAATGGGTGGCCGTATGGGTACTGGAGTTGATCCTGGCCGTGCAGCTGTTATTGGAGCTGCTGACAGTGCCAATCCTGTCGCTGTCAATGCAACAATGGCGCGCCAATCTCGACGACTTTATGTTGGACAAATCCCATATAACATCAATGAAGAAGCTATTGGGGAATTCTTTAACAGTACCATGATGCAGATGAGCCTTGCAACGTCAGCACCAGTCCTTTCTGTACAAGTCAATCACGATAAAAACTACGCTTTTGTTGAGGTAAGCAAAGTGAAGTTCGGGTTTCCTTTTCCAAACTTTGATGTTTTAACCACTACCTTCAGTTTCATCACCCTGACCAAGCCACTGCGGCATTGGCTTTTGATGGTATATCTTTCCAAGGCCAAGCATTGAAGATTCGACGACCAAAAGATTACCAGCCAGCCTTTGGTTACAATGAAGCACCCGCTGTTCATGTTCCTGGTCTCGTTTCTACAAATGTTCCTGACACACCTAACAAGATATATGTTGGAGGACTCCCTACTTATCTTAACGACGAGCAGGTGATGGAGCTTTTGAAGTCCTTTGGTGAACTTCGAGCTTTCAATTTGGTCAAGGATACACAAACCGGGCAGTCAAAGGTACAGTATGGAGTAATGCTTGTTTCTGTAGATGTTGTCGTACTGACATTTGTCTCTTGTGACAGGGTTTTGGTTTTTGCGAGTACGTCGATCCCAGCGTTACGGATTTGGCTTGCCAAGGTTTGAACAACATGGAACTTGGTGACCGAAAGCTTATCGTACAGCGTGCCAGCGTTGGATCTAAGGGAATGCCCATGGACACAGCAATGCCACTTTCTGCACCATACACAGTCACTGCTACAGGTGTTACTGATCAAGAAGCAACAAAGGTTGTTCAATTGATGAATATGGTTACACCTGAAGAACTCGAAGATCCTAGCGAATATCAAGGTATGAACAATATTCAAAACCATTGCTACGATTTTTGGTTGGAGTTCGTATGTCTCACCCTTTCATTATTAGAAATTTGGGAGGATGTTCAAGAGGAATGCTCCAAGTTTGGTGCTCTTGTTGATATGAAGATCCCACGTCCTCAAGAAGGCAACGTTGTCCCAGGCCTAGGAATGGTAAGTACACGCTTCCTATTGGCAGGAACTTGGAAATCTATGTTTGTTTCAATGTATTCACTAAAACTTCGCTGCAGATATTTATTCGTTATGACAACACAGACGACTCTCTAACTGCCCTGAAAGCACTTGCTGGGCGCAAATTTGCAGATAGAACTGTGCTGGCTTCTTTCTACGATGAACAAAAGTACGAAGCTGACGAGTTCTAAGCTCTCTTATGTTTGGAATTACTCTTATGTTGTGTTATCAAGAATCCCCATAAAACAAAAATACATAAAAATTGGTTCAGTCAAAAAACGAATGAATGGTCTGTCTGTATTGGCTGAATGAAAATAGAGAACAAGGGAGGTTTAGCTGTTGGGAAAGTGATGATGAGGCGGTATGTCTGCTTCAATATTTCGGCAGCTTGGTTATTAAAAGATTGGTGTTTGCGAAACCTTTGCGAAAAGTAAGAGAAAACTGTAGATTGTTGGTCTAAAATTATGCTTTGAAAATCAGGCATGTGCCATCGTCGGATCCAGTGACAACAGTGTCTCCGTTGCTATAATGAAGCAAGAACATAGCTGATTAATATCCATACCGTATATATACATCAGAATGAATAAGTCTACATACTTTGAAATTGCAAAGTCCAAGACGGCATCTTGGTGACCCATCCATTTCTTCAAGCACTCGCCACTTCTGGTATCCCACAGTCGTACAGTTCTATCGGCAGAGCAGGTGACAAGGTTGACAGAGTTTGATGCAAACTGTACCTTGATGACAGCATCCTGTAAAAGGAAACGTTAGTCGTATGCCAATGAACTGGGCATCATATATATAAACAGCTACTTACGTCGTGCTTCAGAGTGTGACGAACGCGATGGGTCTGGATATCCCAGACGCTAACTTTACCGTCAACTGATCCAGTAGCAGCAAGGGGAAGGCTAAGATGAAAAATTGATGAGTATATGCTGATAAGGTATGGCGATGGTAAGGTATCAAACTTACACATCACAAAAACTGACGGATTCAACAGAGTCTGAGTGATTTTCTAAAGAGGCAATAATCTAGAAACATTACAATTAGATTGTGGTAATATAACATCACAAGTTCCATAAAGGCCACTTACATTTCCGTTGTGTAGATTGAGAAGCTTAGCAGTTCCGTCTGCTGAACCAGTTAATGCCAAATTGCTCTCCTTGTCGGTGGAGACACAGATGATGGGCTCGGAATGGAAACGTCCATCCGCACCGGTCAGCTTGACATTTGCCACTGCTGATTTAGGATCCCATACGATAAATGTTGCATCTTCAGAAACCGTCACGATGTGCTTGCCTAATAGCATTCTA